CCCTTACTTTCTTTTTCTATTCAATTTTCTTTTTCTTTTTCTTTTCCATTTTTTTAAATTTTATTTTATTTTTTTAAACAACAGAAAAAAAATATTGGGCCCCCCAGAGCCTGGGCATGTGCCCAGCCTGGCCGGGCCCAAGAACCGCCCCTGCATATTTGAGAGACTTGTACATATTGAAATAAACCTGCGATTCTGAGACGAGTTTATGAGTTTAATTTAATTTCGAAGTAAAAAATATCTTAATACATTCCTTTTGTTTCATTAGAAAAATTTAAAGGCAAATTAGAAGAGTTTCTCAATTGCTTCCTTCTTGCTTTACAAGTTATAATACCTAAGAACAACAAACTCTAATTACCCACTCGCATACGCATTACACTTATTGTCTCTGATTCGTATTGTAGTTTCTTGTCGTCTTGCATTTATATATGCATGTCTCTTGTAGTCTCACGCTCATTTCTCTAATTTGTTTTTGGTTTTGTTTCATATTTTACTTTATTTATCGTATTGTATTCTATGTTATAATCTTTGCAACATACTTTATTACTTTTTTTTTATTTGCGTTATTATTTTTTTGTTGTTTTTTATATGCATTAATCTTTTATTTTGTTACCGTATTTTAGGCGTAGTGAGTGTTTATTATTTGTGTTACTCAAATATATTTGTATGGCATTTGTGATATTCTTTACTGTTATTTTTTTATCATAAAATAACATAATTTTTTTTTCTTATTTTATTTATTTTTTAGTATTTTGAAGCAAAGTGTGTTTATTTCCTTTTCTTTGTTTTTTTTTTATTATTTTCGAGTTGTTTTTTATAAGTTGTTTCCTTTTTTACCTTACTTTCGCATATTATGAAGTGCTTTTTAAACAACTTTATTAAGGAGTTTGAAGTTGAATTATTTATATTAATTGATGTTGTGTTATGTATAAGTGTTATTTATAAGTTTTTTAATGTTTTTTTTTCTTTTTTATATTTATCATAAACTCTTCAGAGTCTAGAAATCAACTATACAAATCGAGATGTGAATCCTTTACGAGTCTTTGCGAGTCTGAAAACCATGATTGTGACCAATAAATTTTTGCATGTTAAACTTTCCATAACATTAATTTACCTAAGAAAATGAGGAATTATGTTACATAAAAGAGAATTGGTCATGGAATATTTTGCTAGTTTTTTTTTATTCTAGACGGATAATTGTAGGAAATAGACTACAATTACCAAGTAAGGAAACCAAGAGGTGATTTGAATTTTCTAACATTATTTTTTAAATTGATTTAATTTCTCGTAATTTTATTTTCCTTCTACAACCTTGAAATATATTCCAAGAATACATTCATATGTAAAAATTTAATAATTTAACAATTGCCATGTTAGAAATCAGAATAATCCATGTGAATACAAATTTAGATTTTATTACTTGACGATAATTTGATATACTTATCAAAACATTAATGAATTCACATGTAGAACAGCTAAGGGGACTTTAGTGAGTGCAACATCTCGATATAAACATGATGAATGTTGGTGTATCTTTTATGCTTCTCTCACTTTTTAATGACATCATGAATCATAATGTGCATGTAAAAACCAACTTGAAGAAGTTTGTTGTCCAAAGATCTTTCTCATGTGTGGCTACCATATACTCCATTTATACTTCTATAATCACATTTCTTAATCCATCTAGGTCCAAACATCTCATTATGGAGTGTTTGTTCTCTTTATGTACAATTTTCACGAGATTAATGTGTATTTGGATGAAAACCTTTTTGTTATCTTCCATGCCTTTTAGGGGGCTTCTAGTAATGCTTCCTGCCAAATATATAATACGAGGAGAGTCATTCAATTTTCTAGCTTCTTCGATGCAATTTAGTATCATAACTTCTATATTGAGAATTTTGGCCGTCTTATATTATTGATTGCTTGTTGTTAGTTTTTTTTTTTTTATGCTAACTAGCTTGAACACGATGTTCGACCTAGAATTATGGTTTCCTTTCTTAGGTACTTTACCGAATGTGATTCTTTGGTATGGTCTGACTACCTGTCTCATTCCAACAACGAGTCACATTTGGATCTCAGATCCTTGACATCCATTTTATAGTTAACTTCATTCCTTCTATTATGGCTTTGTACTCTGCTTGGCAATTGTTGGCCTTGAAAATGAAATAGAGATATTTCTCAATAAGAAAGTCGTTTGTTCTTTTAAGCACCACTTTAGCATGACTTCCTTTGAGGTTATATGCCTCGTCAATAAATAGGATATCCACTTTGGTGATAGGTTTGTAGGAGATGATATTTATACCATGATGTATGCCAACACTTATGATTCGATGTTCCCAATGTGGTAAGATTATGTCATACTCAAATATTTCAATAAACCAATCCATCATTCTTCCTAAAAGGCTGGGATTTCTTATAACGTAATTGATGAGGTATTCAGTTTTTACCATTACTCGATGACTCTAAAAATATGGTGTCAATTGTATTTCCATGGTGACGATGGCTAAGGCGAGTTAATATTTCTTAAGTGTCTAACTTAATAAGTCCATGCACAAATAATTTTATCCTTCACCTGGTCCAGTATCGTACTTTCAATATAGGTCAAGAAATTCAGATATTTCGCACATACCATTATGAACTATATGACAAATTCGACATGTAACTCCTTTATAGAAGAATTGATTATGACATTTCATGCATCCATTATGCTTTCCAATATCTGACTAGGTTTGACAATTTTACCGTCTTTACCCTTGATTCGTTTGGTCCTTACCTTGTGCTTAAGTCTACCTCTCACATTTTTTGTTATATGAAACATACACAATAAAACATATAACGTACGAAGTACTTTTACAACTAAATTCATCAGTGCGATATTGCGATCAATGACAATCACCCATGGCATGTTTTCTGGGTCTTCCATCATATCGTGACACATTTCCAAAGCCCAGGTAAAGTTATTCTCTTTCCAAAATCGCAAAGCCAAATGAACAACTCATCTTTGTACTTGTTGGTCTTATATGTTGAATCAATTATGAGTACCGTGAGAAATGTGTTAAACAAATTGATGGGATCAGGATGAGTCCAAAATTTTTCTAGAACAATTTTTCCATCCCCACACTCAGTACTTAGATATACAATGATGCTCATCTAATAATTTTAAGAATTATTGCATTTTAGATATTGGACCTCTTATCACCTGTTATTTTGGTGGCAAGCATTGTATACTTGTTTAATATTTGAGACACTTCCGGGTCTTTTGTTTTTCAAAGTTGCCAATATGTTTTTGGGCTCAATCATGTTAAATTTCATGTCATAAACAAGTTTCTTCTCTTCAGAATTCATAAAATAGAGAATAAGATGACCAACTAACTTATGACACAATCCATGACTATTTATGCCCTAAATCATACTAAATGTGCATGTATTATTCGACTTGTGGTGCCCATACATCTTAAAAGGATATCTATATTTTCTTGTTCCATTCTCATCATGTTTCAACTTTCAGGTAGGTTTTTTATACTGATCACTTCTCTCATATCACATTGAAACAAATGTCTGCCTTCTATCAGAATCAGAATTTGACCTCCTGATAACAATGCGAAAATCCAACTTGGTAGCCCCGTACAGATCCACCGAAGCATATGTTTACGTAAAGTAAACTTATGTTTATTAGTAAATTTCTTTCCAACATCAACGCGTATAACACCTCGTTGGAGATGTTCTAGATCATCATCCTTTAATACATTAACTTTGTTGACAACATCAAGGTGTATCATACATACAACCAATAAAAAAAGACAATTTCAATCAACATTCAAAGAATCCAAAATTTAATCTCCGGACCAATCTCTCCTCAAGGATCCAAATTACAATTTCTAGATTGCATTCATGTTAGAGAAAAAGCATTGCTATTTCGATGATCATCAATGACAAATATATACATTACCTATAATTTCAAACGATTTTGCTCCTTTTGATATAGAAATACTATAGAGTTATGTTTGTAAGCAAATTTTTTGAATAAGAATATAGAATTTTTTAGAAAGGTTAAATAAAATGTGTTATGGCTATGAGTATAAAGGGGGTTATGCAGAAATCATGATTATTTGAATTCTAATGCGGAAAAAATATATTATTTCATTAATCATCAATGTCAGACATGTACATTACTTATAATTTCAAAAGATTTTGTTAATTTTGATGTCGAAATACAATATAATTGTGTTTGTAGGTAAATTTTTTGAATAAGAATGTAAGAAATTTTTGGAAGGGTTTAATGAAATACATGTTATGATCATGAGTGTAAGGGGATGATGTAGAAATCAAGGTTGTTTGAATCCTAAAAGGTGTGTTTGAAATTCAGTTGTCGAATGGTGTGTTCGAATTTTAGAATCTGAACAAACATTTACTTGTATTAGATACGTTTTCGATAAAGAATTTGTTCTTCGAACAATGAAAAGGGTAATATTGAGTTTTTATAGGATTTTAGAGAATTAGTAACAATTCAATGAACTATCATCTAAAATTGGAGGAAGGATTCTCTCTATTTCTTAATAAAAATAAAAGTGTCTATTACTATAATTTTGATTTATAAATATCTAATTAATGTCATTATTTTAAAAATTATGGGTAATGCTAACTTGTGCCCTAGCAACACAACTTAAAAAACCTACTCATAATAAATTTGTATTGGAAAAAATAATTTTATACTTTAATTAAAATCTATACATAATTTGCAAAATAATATTTTTTAATTTAGTTCTTTAACTCGTGCCTTTGAAACAAGTTAGCATTATCCAAAAAAAAATTATATATATATTAAATATATTAATTATTCAATAAATTAAAAAAATTAAAATTTATTATGCGATACAAATAATTTAAAATTTGTATGATTGTCATTGTAAGCTTTAGAAACTTGGTGAAAAGAAAACTCTTTTTTATATCTTCACATTTTCCCGCGAAAAGCACCGCAAACGAGTTAGACCGGAAACGGAATGAACCGGACTGCAGAAGAGACGGAGCAGAGGATCCGGCATGTATCCGGATCATTTCCCATGGATTCATTCGGGTTAATGGACTATTACTTCCCTCAGCAACTCTTCACCGTCGAAAAAACCTGGTTCAATCTCACATCTGCTCTTTTTTCTTTCTTTTCTTCTCCCCAAGGCCAAACCATCGCTTCTCAGGTATTGCAATTACTCTCATCTCTTCAACCATTTCATTTCCTTACAAATTTGTTCAAAGTTGAATCGATTTTCCATATTAGTTAGGAATTTCAAATTTCAACTATCATAGATCAATATTGGGTTTCTAATTTCAAGTAAAAGAAGCATCTGTGTAATTGTACCAAACCCAAGTTACGAAAACTAGATTACCGAGTATAGTAGGAGGAACTAGAGCAAGGATTGGTTTCACAGTGCAATTTTATTTGTGTTCGTTTTCAATTAGGTTGTGGACTGTGGTCTATGAAACACGATGACACCGGTGATAATTTGAAAAAATAATAAATTAAACCTAATCACAAGTGTCGGTGTGAGTTTCAGACACTAACACATACACATACACCCCTTTTTTCCAGAGGTGTCGGTGCTTGAGTGGTTCTGGTAGATTTAATTTGTGGAATAGTGGAGAGAAGAATAGCTAAAAGAATCTGTAATCTTTTGTGATCATTTGGATTGGAGCTCCTAAGAATAAGTGCTTATTATGTCCGGATGTACAATTTAGTTAAGTGTTTTTTTTCCAAGCCTTCACCACTAGGCCAACCCCAGGGAGTTAATCAAGTGCTTATATAATAAGCTCTTATTATGCAAGAGTTTGTGTACAAACTATTTTTAGAATTGAAGAGGTAGTGAAGATAACCAACCTATACTGAAACGGTTTGAAATAAGATATTTGAGAGATAGGAGCTAAAAACAGTTTATGGAAGTGCTTATATCTTAAGCTCTTTTAAACAATTAGCAAGTGCTTATATCATAAAATAAGCCCAAATGAACTTCTTCAGACCTCCCTTCGTATGTCCTAATCGCTTCGAATCTTGCCCCTTCTCTGGATTTTTAAGCTTTATAAGCTTCTTTCTGTTGAATGCAAGTATATATTTTATTAAAGTGTAGACATGATTTATGCGTTTTATCAATCTGGGGTATACATATAACTTTTGGATTGTGCTGACAGGTGAAAAATGAGTATGGAAACTATGTATTGCCAATTGATTTTCAGAAGCTCAAAAATATTTGTCGTGTTGAGGAATTTTATGAAATGTTATCGGACAAACCTAAAATTGCTCTTTTATGCATGAGTGCTGCTGTTCACAAGGTATGCTTGAAGTCATTTATTTTATTTCACAAACAAGTGTATATCTTATGCTTGACCAGGGTTTTATACGAATAAAATAATAATAAACTGGAAACAGGCTTTGCTTTCTAAATGGGAGAGTGACAAGATGGAGCTTTCTGCCAAAGTAGACATCCGTCTTCATAACTGTCCTGAAACCATGATCGCGTTGAAGAACTTAAAAGCAGCTTACATTGGTATACCATAGAATCATCGTGGTGTTTTTTTTTTTTCCTCGTAATGTTTGCTTGCTGCAGTTGAGTTTTTCCTGCTGTATGGAAAAAGTATGCATTTTAACGTCATTTGGGGATTTGACAGACAAGCTTGTCTCAGTGCGTGGTACCGCTGTGAAAGCCAGCACCGTTAGGCCTCTTGTGGTAGAGATGAGTTTTGAATGTAGTAAGTGCAAACAAAGTATTACGCGTATATTTCCCGATGGAAAATTCTCACCACCGTCAACTTGCAATTTGAATGGATGCAAAAGCAAAATCTTCAATCCATTGCGATCTACTGCTCAGACTATTGATTTTCAGAAAATAAGGTGAGCCTAGATCTTGACTCATAATCTCTATTCTTTTATTATATATTGGCTACGCCTCCCCCACTCATTCATTTTGAAATCTGTTTTCAATGCATGTATGGACTAGGGTTCAAGAATTATTAAAACATGAAGATCATGAGGAAGGACGAGTGCCTCGAACAGTGGAATGTGAGCTTACTCAAGATCTTGTTGATTCATGCATTCCTGGAGATGTGGTGACGGTTACTGGAATTATCAGAGGAATTAACAATTACATGGATATTGGAGGAGGTATGATTTTCTAACTGCCTGTTTTAGTTATCCACCTTACATGCTGGCTTGTATTACAAGTTACAACTTGCTTGGATGTTGACGTGAAATCAAGCCAATTAAAGTTTGCGAACAAAGATAACCAAGCTATATTAAAATCGTTTCTGGGTATATATTTAAAGTATTATAATAACCTCTATTTATTTCTTTGAGTGCCATTGTATTTGTATTTGGCTACATATTAAATCATTAAAGTCACTGTATCGTTTGGCCAATAAATGAATAATAACTTTGGTGATAAACATATTAATTTTACTAAAGCTGAAATACGTAATATAGATAATGAAAGTGTCTTAGCATCATATTATTCTCCTGTACGACATTAGTTATTTGGGAAACCATTATTCTCTTTTGAGCCATTTACCTGATGCAGCTTGTGGGTATTTATACAGGGAAGTCAAAGAACAAAAACCAAGGATTTTACTATTTGTATCTGGAAGCTGTATCCATTATGAATTCAAAGTCACAGTCCATACCTGATGATTCGCAAGACTCTAATGCCAAAGCTAGACCAACTGAGCTGTTTGATTTGTTTTCATTTTCATCGAAGGATTTAGAATTTGTTGTGAAATTTGCAGAGGAACATGGTTCAGATTTATTTCGGCAAATCCTTCACTCTATATGCCCTTCCATCTATGGGCACGAGCTTGTTAAAGGTAAATATCCATTTCGTGATGAAATGTGTGTAATAACCTTAGTCGCTTGTTTAGTGAGAGGGCGGGCCTTAGCACAATGCCGCAATGTAACATTGCTGTCCTGTGATTTGTTGCTGGTGTTCATTGATCTGTAATTGTTGCTGGAAATAGCCTCTCCATTCCGGCTAAGATTGTGCACACTTGATTATTTTTAGACCCCGCAGTGTCAGAAGTTACATGCCCTTGTCCACCCTTTAGTTGCTTGTTTGGTGACATGTTTCTTATGTCTTCTGTAATTGTTACTATAACCTTGCTAATCCATTGAAAAGTTCATAATCTCACTAGCCAGTCATAATTATGTTCACTTTCATGACTTATTAATCTCATGGCGGGCATGTGCATTGTTAGTAATTGTTTGTTAAGAATGTGACTTGAGCATTCCTGACACTTCAATGTTCCAAAATTGGCAGTAGATGGGAAAAATCAAATAATAGTTTGCTGTTAATTTGACAGCTGGGATAACTCTATCATTATTTGGTGGTGTGCGAAAGCATTCGATGGATCAGAATAAGGTACCTGTGAGGGGAGATATTCATGTCATAATTGTAGGTATGCTATGTGTTATCTTTGCAATTTTGAATGGAATCAAACCTTCAGAAATGTTTTCCTTACGGAGAAGTAGATTTATTTTATCGAAAATGCTTTCTTCATTTAGAAGTTTGCAAAATGGAGACAGGATAAAAATTTACAAACTGGTTCTGTTGCAATTTCAATTTTCTAGGCGACCCTGGTCTAGGTAAGAGCCAGTTGTTACAAGCAGCAGCAGCTGTTTCTCCACGTGGTATCTATGTCTGTGGTAACGCAACAACCAAAGCTGGTCTCACAGTAGCTGTAGTGAAGGATCCTATGACAAATGACTATGCTTTTGAGGCAGGTACATGCTTTTAAATTCTTTTTATGTTGCACTCATTGAAATTGTGAAATCATGACTCAAAGTACACTGCAATATTTCTAGAATTAGTGGATTACCAGTCATTGGTCATTATTGATACTACTCTTTTTGGAATATGTCTTTGAATTGTGTTTTTGTGTTACCTTTGTTTATTTCTTCAAGTTGTTCTTCTGAGTTCCATATGTTGAAATCTTTGTTCTGTGATAATGTGGAATTTAGTGTGTAAGTTTAATAAGTCATGAAGCTAAGTTATCTGTAGTTCTTTTCTGGCCAAGTTGTATGGATTGCTTCCTTTGCGGTGGGCTGAATGATGACCTAGTTTTCTGGTGCTTGTCTCTATTTGCTTAAGCTCTGCAGATTTTTCTTGATTTATCTTTGATAGTGTCTGACATAATGACTTTTGGATAAAGTGGAGAAGAGGGGGAAAATGTTATTTTTTTATATGCTATCAATAAGGATATGATTGGGTCTAACTGATTTTGCTGTGATCGCTTGCAAAAATTAGTTCATATTTTATGTGAATAATTGTTGTGATTCCTGATAGGTGCTATGGTGCTGGCTGACAGTGGATTGTGCTGTATTGACGAGTTTGATAAAATGACTTCAGAGCATCAGGTTTGTTCTCTGGTAACCGTTGATCAATTTCTGGTTATTTTAATATATCTACTGAAGCCTTATTTCAAATTTGTAACAATATAGGCTTTACTGGAGGCAATGGAGCAACAGTGTGTCTCTATTGCAAAGGCGGGATTGGTAGCAAGTTTGTCATCCCGGACTTCTGTCTTAGCCGCTGCTAACCCTGTTGGTGGTCATTATAAGTAACATTTTTAATCTTCATTATCTCCTCAATTTTCCGTACTGGTCTGTTTTTATTTTTAATAATCTATCTCATATATATCCATGTATATAGTGCAGTAAGTCATATAAGTTCATTTTTATCCCTGATTTCAACTTCTTCAATGAGGTAGGTTTGTTTGAATTGGTGGTATAAGAAAAGAATGGAATGAGTCTCCACATAGTGGGATAATGCTTGGATGTTGTTGTGGAATGGAATTGAGTGATCTTACATACATTTTTTAACATATAACTAGACTATTCAATTCCACTCCATTCCATCCTATACCACCACTCCAAACATACCCTTCAAGAAAATAATTTCTCCTGACAATTTCTTTAAATAAAAATCGCAGCCGGGCAAAAACTGTAAATGAAAATTTAAAAATGAGTGCTGCACTGTTGTCCCGTTTTGATTTAATTTTCATATTGCTGGACAAGCCTGATGAACTTTTGGACAAACGAGTCTCGGAGCACATTATGTCAGTAAGTTTTACTGTCTTCTTACTTCGTCTTGGTGTTCACTTTTGTACATAAACCACATGACATTCATATCTTATTCATGGTTGATGGGAATGGCGTATTGGCTTCTCATCCTGACATTTGAATAAATAACAACTATAGTAATGATGCTTAAATGTATTACTTAGTTTTCATTATTGGTTTGAACTTTTCAGTTGTTAGATTAGACTATTTAAAAACTGTAGTCTCTTTAATAGTTAACACAACAAATGTATCTGCTTGTGTCAAGGACACGAATTATTAACTGTTGGTAATTTTCATTTCTGCATAATTATTCTAGGTTAATCCTTTCCTTTTTTATCTTGGATTACTTGATCTCGAAGCTACATTTCTTCTCAAGTAAAGAACTTAAGTTGGTAAAAAGAGGTTTGAACTTGTGATGTATTGAAGATACCACGTGATACACACACAGACCAACAGAAAAAAGTGGGAGGAGTTATAAGAATATTGAAAAGGAAAGAAGTTTGTCAAATGGCTTAGATGCAATCATATCGTGTTTTCTGCATGTTATATTTGGGTGTTTTCTGCATGTTATATCTTTTCTCACCGTAAACAAAAGCTGAATGCTTTCACATTTCTACCAAATCAATCTTCTTGGTTTATTATTTTTCATTTGATCCTATCCTATGTTTCTAATATGTTTCTGTTGATACTCGGTACTATGAATTGATGTTTCAAATGTTTCTCGCAGCTTCATACTGGGTTCGGCCAACACTCACAGGCATCTAAAAAGCGACGCGGAGGTTACCTCTCCCTCTTACATTATATTTTAGATTGGCTAGACTAGAGCATCCTGCATTTTGGCAATTCAATATTCACTAATGAAATATATACTTGACCAGATCCACCTTCTGATTCAAGAGCTTCCGCATCACAGAATGCTGAAGGGGTAGATTTGGCCCATTTGGGTGCTAGATCTGGTTCTTTAATTTCAAAGTTGAAACTTGACAGACGAAGAGACAATGATTTTGTTCCATTACCCGGTCAACTTCTTCGCAAATACATTGCTTATGCAAGAAGTTTTGTCTTTCCTAGGTGGTTCAATGTCACATCTACTTTTTGACTCTGGTCTAAGTATTTCCCTCGAGAAATTTCTCAGTATTTATTTTCTGTCTCTTTTCTGATTTCCTTAATAAGGATGTCCAAGCCAGCAGCAGACATCATACAAAAGTTTTATCTAAAACTTAGAGATCATAACATTTCGGCTGATGGTACTCCTATAACAGCAAGGCAGTTGGAAAGTCTAGTAAGGTTAGCTGAAGCTCGTGCTCGGCTGGACTTGAGAGTAGAAATAACTACCCAGGATGCAATGGTTAGTATTACATTTTAGTTTGACCTGAATAATTTTAACAACATTAATCATCTTTCAGTTCTTCAACTTCAATAAAAAACTCGTGAAGTCCAACTTGAAGCATAATGCCGCCATTCATATATAGATGAAAAGCTCTTCTAAAATTAATAATCCTTGCAAAGAGATGACGTGGAAACACACTTAGTAGCTTAAAAATATTTCCAGCCTTTTTTTTAAACTAGGAAATCGATGTATTTCGTTCATAAGTAAAGTTTTAATACATAGTGGAACATGGCCAAAACTATTTCCAGCCTCTACTAATACTTTAAAGTCATGTAACACTAGTTTTATTGAATTTTGAATACCAGATTGTTGAGTATGTCAACTACTAAATTGTTTTCTGTCAATAAAATTTAAAGTAACAATAATGTTTTTTCTTGTCATGAATTCCTTGAGTCATTCCTGTAATGACATTGTCATCAATCATGCAGGATGCTGTTGAAATCATGAAGGAATCCCTGTATGATAAATATGTTGACGAGCACGGTGTTGTGGATTTTGGTCGAAGTGGAGGGATGAGTCAACAGAAAGAAGCAAAACGTTTTCTAAATGCCCTTAATAAGCAATCGGAGCTGGAACAGAAAGATATATTCTCAGTATCTGTATGTGCTTTCTATTATTTTCCCTGCATTCTGTCAATGGTTTATGTCCTCGATAAAAAAACGGATTTGTTGTTTACTTTTCAGGAAATGTACAGTCTGGCAGATAGAATTTCCTTGAAAGTACCTGATACGGATACTTTCATCGATAATTTAAACAGCGTTGGTTATCTACTTAAAAAGGGACTAAAGACATACCAGGTGTGATGAGATTTTTACTCCACTCTATAGCGGTTTGTTTGATAGTGTCCATTTTATTAATATGCATCTCTTTCTTACACAAGAATCTAAAATTCCTGCCTATCCCTTCCTAGCAATTGTATATATGAAAGAAAAATGTTAAAATTTTGATGACAACAAAATTCTTTTAACATGTGCAGGTGGTATCCTCTTCTTACTCGCGGAGCCAATCCACTAGGTCAAGGTGTTAAACTTGAGTTATGTACATGTTAGTGATTAAATGTAAGAGCTTTTCGTTAATTTGTCATGTTATGGAACTTGACAAAAAAGTGTCCTTATCTTATACTGAAGTTCCCTTTCCCGAAATACTCCGAAATGCTGGGAATATGCTTCATCTTATGATGACAGTATACAATTTCACAGGGGGACGAGGAAATTAATCTTTTAATCTCCCATGTAATAACTGCGCGGCAATTTTGCTGTATTGTTCAATCTTTTAAAGTGAGACAGTCGTTCACCACTCAGATTTTTTTCAGTCAGTATAGTTATAATTTGAATCCTTACATATTTGCTTGGAATCAAGTAAATAAGAGAATGATTCTTTTATATATTATTCCAGCCATAAGTTCTGAGTATTTATAGATACAAATAATACTTGAGTGTATAACTAATTCCTAATCCTAAGGAAACCCTATTGGTGATTCTTAGTATTAAGCAATGAATAATTCAAACTATACCAACTCATATGCATAGTAATATGAATGGTTGGTTACACTTAATTATTGGAACAACTTATTCTTATCTATTATTATGCCCCCTCAAAATTGGGTCACCATCAATGACACAAATTTTGTCTCTGAGAAATGAAAATTTGGTTCGATGCATAGGCTTTGTTAGAATATCTGCCGGTTGGTCCTTTGTAGAAATGTGAGAGACTCGTATATTTCCAAGTTGAACCATTTGTCGCACGAAATGATAATCTAGAGCAATGTGTTTCATTCGAGAGTGAAAAACTGGATTGGAGCATAAGTAGGTTGTGCCAATATTGTCACAAAAAAGAGTAGGTACTTGAGATGGTACTCCAAGTTCACTCAATAGATTGAGCAACCACATGATCTCAGTTGTAGTATTGGCAGCAGATCGGTATTCGGCTTCTGTGGAAGATCTTGCAACTGTTCTCTGTCTTTTTGATAACCATGAAACAGGATTTCCTCCAAAGTAAATTATGTAAGTTGAAGTAGATGTTTTGTCATCGTAATTACCTCCCCAATCAACATCGGTGAAGGCTTGCAGTTTGAGATGAAGTGGTTTTGCTAGCCGCAAAGCATGATTAATAGTATGTTTTAGATACCGTAATACTCGCTTGAGCTGTTGGAGATGCAGTTGTGTTGGTTGATGCATGAATTGTGACAATTTATTAATTGCAAATGACAGATCTGACCTTGTCAAAGTAACGTATTGCAATGCACCAATGATACTATGGAATAACTTTGAGTCGACAGCGGCTGATCCATCATTTAGTTTGAGAGGAGTAGTCATACATAATGGTGTGTTAACAGTCTTTGCTCCAGCCATATTAAACTTATCCAAGAGTTCTCGAATATAACCATGTTGAGATAATAACATACCCTCCTTGGTTGAGATCATTTCAATGCCAAGAAAATAATGAGGGAAACCAAGTTGTTTGAGCGAAAACTTGTTGGAAAGTTCTGTCATGAAGTGAGTTAAAAAGGTAGTATCACTGCCCGTCAAAAGTAAGTCATCAACATATACTAATAAGAAAGCTTGTACACCATGTTTATTGTAAATAAACAAGGATGAATCACTTAGACTTGTTTGAAACCCAGCAGAAAGAACAAAGGCCTTGAGAGAATCATGCCATGCTCGAGGTGCTTGTCGTAAGCCATAGATAGCCTTCTTGAGTTTACATACATGTTGAGGAAATTCAGAATGAATAAACCCGGGTGGCTGTTGCATGTAGACATCTTCAGTCAATTTTCCCTGCAAAAAGACATTATTAACATCCATTTGGTGTAAGGACCACCCTTGAGAAAGTGCTAAAGTGAGAACCACTTTAATAGTTTGAGGTTTCACAATCGGTGCAAATGTTTCCTTAAAATCAAGACCAGGTGTTTGAGTGAATCCTTTTGCAACCAACCTTGCTTTATATCGTGCCACACTTCCATCATGATTTCTTTTGATGCGAAACAACCATTTACAGCCAACTAAATTAGTATGAGCCTGACGGGGAACCAAGGTCCAAGTACCATTATTCATGAGTGCATTAAATTCAGCCGAACAAGCATCTCTCCAATGTGGTATTTTAAGTGCTTGAGTAATAGTAGATGGCTCAAGATTTTCCTGCAAGTCATGTTTAGAGGCAATAAATAGTTTCTTGGGTTTGAATATATTATTTTGTGACCTTGTCACGATATGAGCACGTTGAACCGGATTATTTGTCGTTGAAGTTGGAACCGGATCAGATGCAATGTTGGTGATAGAGCTTGTTAAGTTATCAATAGTCACTGGTATCTCTGTTGTTACAGACGACTCGATAGGTTGCATTGACTCAGGGACTGGGGGAGGACTTGATACCGGATCTGTTGTGGGACTCGATACCGGGACTGATGGCTCAGGGGTGGATGACTCATGTGCTAGGGACTGGTTTGGTTCCTGAGCTGAATTTTGATCTTGGGTAACATGAATAATACTGTGTACCGAAGAGTCATGTGATGGAATTGGAAGACAAGTAGATGACGGATTAATTAGGGATTGATAGGGGAATGAGTTTTCCACAAAGTGGACATGTCTAGATACATATATCCTATTTGACACAGGTTCAAGACAAAAATATGCATACTGAGACGTTAAATAGCCTAGGAAGATGCAAGGTTTAGACCTGGGTTGGAGCTTATTTTGTATATATGGTTTCAGCCAAGGAAAGCACAAACAGCCAAATGAATGAAGTGTATGATAAGCTGGTTTGCTTTTAAACAATATTTCAAAGGGAGAGATCATATTAATGATTGATTTAGGCATCCTGTTAATAAGATACACAACAGTGGTGAAAGCAAATGACCATAGTTGGGAGGGTAAATTAGCATGATGCAAAAGAGCACGACCCGTTTCAACAACATGTCTGTGTCTCCTCTCTGTTGTGCCATTTACCTCAGGTGTGTGAGGTGGTGGAGTTAAATGAGAAATGCCATTATTGGCAAGAAAAGATTTTAATTTGATAAATTCTCCACCGTTATCAGTGAAAAGAGAAACAATCGGAAAATTAAAGGATTTTTCAACAATGAATTTGAATTGAACAAAAATAGAGAAGACATCTGACTTATGTTTCATTGGGTACAAGCAGACATATTTGGAAAAATGATCAACAATGATTAAATAATATAAGAAACCATCTACTGATCTAACAGGAGCTGGGCCCCAAACATCAGAGTACAAAAGTTCCAAAGGTTTGCTGCTTATGAGATGATGATTTGAAAAAGGAAGCTTGTGGCTTTTTGCACAGCGACAAGAAGTACACTCATGTGAGGCCGAAAGCTTTATTGGTAGATGATGATTGTCAGTCAGATGCTTTATTATTTTGAAAGAAGGATGTCTGAATTTATGATGCCATGTAGATGTAGAATGAATGCTTGTATGCAATGCTTGCGGTGGAATGGATGAACGAAATGCATTGGATAGATGATAAAGATCATGTTTAAGTGGTCCTTGAAGCAGTGGTTGACCCGAGGTCAAGTCCTTGACAACAAAATGATTTGCAAAAAATTCAACAGAACAACTATTAGATTGACATAACTTGGAGACAGACAAAAGGTTAGATTGAATTTTAGGAACACATAAGACTTGTTTAAGATGAAGAGGTTTGACAGAAGTATTAATAACAGAGTTACCAGTGTGAGTAATTTTCAAACCTGTTCCATCACCAACAATCACCCGATCTGCTCCAGGATAGGAATTTGTTAAGGTAAGCTGTTGTAGGTCCTGAGCAATATGATGAGATGCTCCTGTATCCATGACCCAATTACCATGTTGTGTTGCAACCTGATTTTGAGCAAAGTTCGTTGTTGGTTTAGGGCCGTTTCGTTTAGGAAATCCCTTAATCCTGTAGCAAACTTAGCAGTGTGACCTGCCTTGTCGCAAAACTGACAGACCACCTTATTTTCGCCATTCCGCAAAGTTGGTGAAGAGCTGCAGTTATTGTTGTTTTTGTGGTGATAGTTTTTTGTTCTTGTGGCTGCATTGGCAGTGACAATCACATTGTCAACTGCAAGTGGATCAGCTTGATGATGAATTGTTTCAAAATCCATCAGTTTTTCATGAAGTTCAGCAAATGCAACAGGACTTTCTCTGCTTCTAAGTGCAGCAGAAATTTCACGATACTCAGCACTCAAACCATTGAGAGTGTGAATAACAAGATCAGTTTCATCAAGGGGATGATCAATGATTGACAGTTCATTCGAAATTGCCTTTATCCCTTGTAGATATGTAGCCATCGATTGATTTCCTTTTTTGAAATTGGAAATCCGTTGTTTGAGCGCAATAATCCGCACTCTTGAGCGACCCACATACATGGTTTTAAGGATCTCCCATACTTGATTGGAACTTTTGACAGTTCCTAAGTGTGTGACCACTGTTGCAGCCACCGAAGATACAATACCATGTAGAATGAGTTGATCTTGTCGAACCCAATTCGTGAAGGCTGGATTGACAGTGGCGGTATCGTTTGCGAGCTGTTTTGATGGACAAGGCTTAGTTCCATCAATATAACCTAGAAGATCATAGCCCGTTAAAAGAGCCATGAATTGAATTCTCCAGGCAGGATAATTGTCTCCATCAAGTTTAATGGAGAGTTGAGAACCAACATTCAAGACAATCAGTTTGTCGGCTGGTGATGACATAGTGGGAGGTGCAGAAGGCATAACACGGATCGGGAAAAAAAATTGCTTTTAAGCTTTATGCTCTGAATACCATAAAGGGAATGATTCTTTTATATATTATTTCAGCCATAAGTGCTGAGTATTTATAGATACAAATAATACTTGAGTGTATAACTAATTCCTAATCCTAAGGAAACCCTATTGGTGATTCCTAGTATTAAGCAATGAATAATTCAAACTATACCAACTCATATGCATAGTAATAGGAATGGTTGGTTACACTTAATTATTGGAACAACTTATTCTTATCTATTATTAGTAAACAGCCATATATAAGTGCACTTTTTAAATTTACATTG